CCCCAAAACCCCAAAACCCCAAAACCCCCTGATTCGAAATTTAGAGCAATTTGTCAGATATTAAAAAGCAAATTAAATAAATACATTATGAATTATCAATAGTCATCATCATCATAGTCATCTTGATTTATAAATTAAGCTTCAGAATCCTGTTAACTGAATAAGTTTTTAGTACCACTCTTACCCTCCTTTAGTTTTTATTTCCACTGACCTAGGTTTTCCTTTATAAACTCAAGTATAGTTGCAGATTCTTGAGCCTTAGCTTTGTCTACTTGATCTAAATCTGAGTTTGCATCTTCAAACGCTTAGTTTGCGATTTCTATTGCTTGCTCTTTTTACCCAACATTCTCGTAGCAAAAAACTGAATAGTTCAAAAGTAATGATAACCTTGTGGGGTCAGCGGGTGAAAGCTACTCAGCTAATTCTATGCCTTTATTATAGCTATCTAATGCCATTTAAGTTGCTTTTTCTAGTCTTTCCCCGTCACCAACTTCTGCAACATACCTGAAATAGTCTCCTTGCAATTTGCTATAGAAAATTTGACTTTCAACATTGTTATCTTTTTTAGCTCTTGCTTATAGCGATTTCGCTAATTTTAGCATGTCTTTGCAAAGATTGACAACCTCTTCTTCTAATCTCTTCTGATAAGATAGAGTGTCCTTCGAGTAATCTTTGTATTTTGGAATTTTAGTAACAGCAGCGGCTGCTCTCCAAGCGATTCTTCTCATGCCAACTGCATTTTTATAGGCTAAGCATAGTATATTGCGCTCTTCTGTACTAAGATCTCCTTCTTTTTTCTCGAAAAAGGGTTTTAAAATGTCTATCATATCATCATACTGCTCAGACTGCTCAGCGATACGAGCTAATAACATCACATCGTCTGAGTTAGAGATATTAAGTGTTTTCAACGACATTGAGGTTTTAAATTTATAAATTATAACTTGATTAAAGTTTAAGAATAGCGAAGTCAAGCATTTAATCTCCTTAAGTTTTAATTATTTTATAAAGTTAATGCAGGATTATACAAACTAACCGATAAATTTCAGGCCATCTTAGCAGAAGAAATAGGTAAATTTTAAGCATTTACTGGCAATTACTTATTAATTATATTACAGAGTCTGCTGGAGGGTTTTAGAGATCTATCGTAGAGTGTAATGGTAAAGAGATTGGATAGATTCGGAGACATGAATAAAGCTAACAGTACTTTAAACAGTAGACATGCATCGAGAGATCGTAGTTATAGTCCGGATTATCCAATAGCTGTGACTAATAAATTTGATAGAGCTCAATAGAGACATAATACTTCATTCGGTCCAATAGAAGAGAACAATCGTGCACATGGAACTTAGTCAATACAAAAGAGATCAACTAATGTGACTTTGAGTGTGCAAAATAGTCCAAGAGTAAAATCATCTCTTGATAACCGACAACCTTTAATTCCTAAAACAAAAAACATTGTCAATTAGTCCGTTGACTTTGTCGATAGATGCAATATATCAATTAATGAGATTATCAAGTCAAGCATGCGCAAAACGACCGGCGACTAACTCTTCGGTATTTCTGGCTATCATATTCCTAATACAAATATCGTGACATAAAGACCCAGGACTACGAAGTTTACTCATTATAATGTACCTCAATTCATGGATAAACAGGTAAAAGCAAAGGAATTCGTCCCAGGTCCTAAATATGAAACAATGAGTGATTGGAAAGATAACTTTAAGGGTAGAGGACACTTTACTAAAAGCCCTAGAATCACTTACACTCAAAATATTATTAAAGAAAGCAAGCTTTAAGATTCGCCTGGGCCAGGAGCTTATAAGCATCCTGAATATATCAAAGCAAGAAAGGGTGAAAAGGGTAATGTAGCATTATCAGAAAAGATATGTGGATTTATCGAGGAGGCCAAATTTTTGGGGTCAGAGAGTCCTCCAACAAAATATGAAGTCAGCTATGTAAGTTTATTGTATAATAATATATAAACTAGGATCGTGTTGACTCTGATATGAAATATGCAAGGATAAAGGCAAGTAAAGTCAGCAGAATGGATAAGCTAGTCAAGGATCCAAACAAGCCATCACCAGGAGATTATAATACAATTGATGCCTATTAAAAGACGCAAATACTGACTCGAGTGCACAAGATCGGTATTTCTAAGAATAATTGCTTCGTGGATGAAGCCTAGAAAGCCAAAAACTTTTTACCAGGCATAGGAGCCTATAAGGTAACAAGCAAGGCTTACGATCTTCTGAGCAAAAGCCCTATATCCATTAGAAAACTCAGACAATGAAAGATAGACCTTTGATAATAAAAAATGCCTAATGAAATATAAAGTACCTATTGAATATTTCAAATAATAGTTTCTATTTAAATTTAACTTTTAATGAATAATTATGATTTATTATACTTATATCATTGCTAGAGTCTAGGTTTAAGTAGATTTAATAGGAACTGATATTATTCAAATTATTCAGAAAAATACACTTTGAGAGAGAGTCTAAGAGCGTCTAAACTTGGCTGCAATGTGAGCGTTCTATCCTGTCTTCACACCAGTCAAGTATCCTCTAATTGATCTCAAGTCCTTAAGGTTCTATTTTCTCTACAACATTACCTCATCCTCAGCATTCTTAAAATAGGTATCTTTCTGCATTATGTTTGCTACCTAAGCAAGTTTGTTTGCTGGTTTCATTGAAATTTTCTATTTCTAAGGAGCAATAGGTTCGTCCTGGACAGATCTAACACAATAATTAGTTATATATTAAATATTACCCTGAGCCTGAATTAAGTGAATGAAGTACACTAGTCTTTCCATCAAATTATGTTGAAGCGGTAGTAGTAAGTGTAACACTATTCTGTTCATCATTTTATCTCAAACCATCTTTCTTGAAGAGTTCTTGCTGTTCAGCCAAAAACTGCTCAAATGGTGACATAAATCTCCTCTGCTTTGTGTTTTGGTCAAAAACTACTTTGCCTTTAGTGTCCTTGATTTTGAACAACTACTTTCCATCATCTTCAGCTTTTACCTCCTCAATTTGGTTGCTAAAAAGACTCTGGTCTATTTGGTTTTAAGACATTTCGAGCTCGTCTGCAATCTCATTTGACATTCTATCAGCTTCGTCATCGATTGGATTGTTCTGGAGTTAGGCTTCAACCTCATCTACCTCCTTCATTCTATCTTGTGAAATATTATTAGCATCTTCTTCAACTGAGTTCTCTTCTTCTTCATCACTGGCTTCGCGCACTCTAAAGCACTTTCTAACTTCAAAGCCATCTTACTCCTCTTAATCACTGGCTTCTTGACTTTACTCTAGTGAACTCTGATGTAATGAATGATGCATCATGAATTAAGCAACCTCTTTTTCAAGTATCATTGGGAAATCATTCTTCTGAATGACTGAATTTTTCTTTATCAATCTGTCATAGATGATCTTTCCAATTCTGTCTGCAATCTTAATCACATCAGAGTGGCAATCAAGTTTCTAAGTATTTGTAGTGATCTTTAAGCAACCAATATAGTCGGATTTAATAAGTCTTGATCTTTCTAGTTGAACCATTGCAAGACATATGTAGTCAAGATTCTTGATGAAGTCTTGGTGAGTCAGAAAGTATTGATCATCCTAATAAATAAGGGAAGCTGCAGCTGAATTTCTTTCTTTTAAGTAGATTCTGCCTTTTTCATCGATGCCGGAAAAGATGAAGTCCCACACATAGAGTAGACTTGAGACTTGGAATTCTCTGGAAAGGAGGCATCTCAAGAACTTTAAGAATATTATTTCTGGCTAGACATCAACTTCCAAAATGTGATTGTAGAGGTCAGGGTCGAGTTCTCTCAAATAGTTATTGAAGATTTTGTTAGATCTCTTTTTAAGTGCAGTCTTTTAAGCATCTTCCTGATTTAATTCAAGCAATTTCTGCTTTCTTTGTCTTTATTGATCTTCTTTACTGGCATTATTATTATCATTATTAGTTGAAAGGGCTGTTGAACCCTAGCTGTTCATAGAATTGAACTCAATTTTCTCTTTGCTACCATTAGAGTATCTAAGTGGATCAAGATAAGCAAAGGAGTCATTGATATCTTATTAATCTGATTTACTATTTCCTGAAGTTTTGTTATGTGGTGCGTCTTTGTAGTAAAGCTCCTTCACACCAAGATTCATTAAGTTTTCGAACATTGCGAAAATATCTGCCCAAGCATTGATGGGGTCATGGAGTTCCTTGAATAACTTCTTAGTATCATCGTCATAGGACTAATCTTCATTCTCATCAGAACTGTGATCCTCATCAGATTCTAAACCTGGGATAGCAGTATGTTCATTATATAATTCAGAGGTTACGCATATGACAATAATTGCTAGTATTTCATTCATTCCTTGTTGATATCTGAACTCAGGGTACTCCTTTGCCCAAACATACAGGATCTCCTCCATCTTTTGTAAAACTGTAGGGTCTTTAAAGAGAGGGAACTCTTGCATGGTTCTCTCTACATCTTTTTTAATCAAGATCTTTACGTCACGATCCTACTTCAGGTTCAGAATCTCGTTGTTCTATATAAGCAATGTATTAAATTTATTATATTTTTGGGTAATATTTACTTTGTTCTGAGCTCCTAATGATGCTAGTGGATTGGAAGTATGAATCTGATTGTTTAGTCTCATGTGCTATAATATGCATGATTAAATGATCAAATTAAAGTGGGATATGAGTGTAAATCTAAGCAAAAATTAAGTTACCTACCTTGTCTTATAGTTTTTGGAATCTAATTCTGTGCTCTTGTATGGATTTTGACCATTCCTCTTTATCATTTATACTTGGTAGCACTCCAAGCATCATCTAAATAACGAAAGTTAAAATCATGAAGTGCTCTAATTATAATTGAAAGTGTAGAGATCCCATAGAATATGGCTTATTAATTTCAGAATTAATTAAGTCTCTAATTCTCAGGCACCTTTTGCATTGAAACTCGATAAACTTACCTTCCAAGAAGTGGATCTAGAGCCAGTTCTTTTGATGAGTTATTATGAAGCAAGTTCATTGATTCTTTCAAAGTCAAAGTTATTGATGTAGGTTGATCTGAATTGGATGAAGTCAAGAGTTCTTTCTAGGTTGAAAGGTCTTTATAGCACTTCAAAGTTTACTTGTTGGTGATCCATGATTAATTTAATATTCAATTATTTAAGATGTTCGAGTATATAAAGTTAATGATTGGGTTATCGCATACATCCAGACTAACAAAAATTTAATTAATTCTTTACTTTTAACATTATATCTATATTTCACATTCTAATTTTACTGATTCGCTTATTTAAGGCTTACCGGGGTTTTGGGGTTTTGGGGTTTTGGGG